CAGCAGGATGGAACCTAACTGATCTGAGGTTCATTTTCAGATCTCACTGTTCGCCAGCAGACCCAACCATGCCGCTCCAATTTGTATACAGCAACCAGGACTTTGTCATAGATGTGTGTCGGAGCAGTGGAAATGGACACAGGCTGGCATCACCGCCAGTAAAGTTTGACAGAATCATCCAAGCAGGCTGGAGAGACAGGATGGAGAGGGGACTTTTCCGCTACCATCTGGGTGATTTACAAACACGTATCCTGCCGGGCCCACATGGCTATGTGGCCCAGCTGAATGTTCAAAGAGGAACAGAGAGAAGAAAGCCTCAGGAAATACTGAGCATCCAGCAGGAGTTTGATGGCAAGCAGTTTAATTTTAACAGAATCAATCCAGAAGAAATCATATTTGAGATGATGAAGAGCACAGAGGGAGACACAGATTTGCATGACAATGGGCCATTGCATCAACCCTGTAGGATAGTCGTGCTAGTCAATGTCAGCCCTTTGGAGTTTGGACATTGCCTCTTTGTTCCAGATCCATCATGTTGTTTCCCGCAGACCCTGACGAGGTTTGCCATCCAGGTTGGTATTGAATCTGTGCTCCTAAGCTCTGACCCTGGCTTTCGTGTGGGGTTCAACAGTCTGGGAGCATTTGCCTCTGTCAATCATTTACACCTACATGGATATTACCTAGACCACGAGCTCAAGATAGAATCTATGCCAGTCAAACCACTGGTTCCTGAAAAGGGATTTTTTCGCTTGCTGGACTTTCCTGCTGGCTTTTTGTTTTACACAGAATCAGAGGAGGTGGAGAAAGTTGCCAGAGCCATCTGTGAGGTCACAGACTTTCTTGTGGATGGTAATATTTCTCACAACCTGTTCTTGACTAGAGGATGCCCACCCCATGATTGCATAGAGAAGGAAAAGGATCACTGCTCAAGAAAAGGTGTGCGTATTGCTGTTTGGCCCAGAATATCCTGCTTCGGTGCTAAAGAGGAGTCTGCCTTCAACGTGAAAAGGATCACTGCTCAAGAAAAGGCGTGCGTATCGCTGTTTGGCCCAGAATATCCTGCTTTGGTGCTAAAGAGGAGTCTGCCTTCAACGTTGCTCTTTGTGAGCTGGCTGGACATTTGCCATTTAAGAACAAGAAGGACTATGAGCTCACCACTGAGAAAGACGTGATAGATATAATTCAGAGCTATCTTCTGCCTGACAGTGAGTTTCTCAGGTTGGAACAGCAGCTTACGTGTCATTTAATGGATTTATAAAGTTTGGACACCAAGGCCATGTCAAAATTTGAGTTGGGCTAAAATATAACTAGATTGAGTGCTGCATGTATTCAAATGGACAGTTTTTGATGATATAAATTGGGAAAACATCCTCATGATGTTGACGGCAGTGTGTGTGAGATTAAGAATGACTCCTTGGAGCTAAAGTAAAAAAAATAGTCAAAGTATTTTTTCTTGTCCAAAGATACTCACTATATCTGCTTTTTTTTATTATTGAGAATTCTCAGGGTAAAATGTATGCACTGTATAGTGGCTCCAAGATATGTAGCACAGTTAAAAGACAAAAGTAGTGTCCACAGCATGAGTGCTACTGTTTTGTCCATAAACCATGGCACACAACCGAGGTTAGTCTAGCACAGTCTGCACAGCAGCACAGTCCTGAATAGAGCTTTAAACAGCTACGGTAACTGATATGTAAGTGTAGTCACTACCTTTCTTTACTTTGCCTTGGCACTTATTCACACATGTTGCACTAATGAAACATACTGCACATAAATATAGAACATGTACAAAAATCTCCCTAACAAGGAGTGGACAGCAGTGCTCAGATCAGAGTCGATCAAATAACACATCCTCCCTGAGAAGCTCTTCATCTGCTAGAATTACATCACCAAGGTAGCAGCGTTAAGTCGAGTGGAATGATCGATGAGCCTAGGTACCTGCTCGCTCATTTTAATAAGGTTCATCATTAGTGAGTACAAAACAAGTGCACTGATCTGTATGTTTAGCTGCTGACATGCCAATTTTTCCCAGTGACAATGATTTAACAATTTTTTAGTTGCCATTTTGTGCTGCATTGGCAAACAAAATTGCATGGTCTTAATATTTGACTGACGGACTAAAGAAACGACATCCTGTCAGTAATAAATGCTACTTGTAGCACTTCATAGATCACTTGGAAAAACAGTCTGCTAATAACTATCTTTAGGACTAGTTGGTAGTAAAATGTACACGTGCATTACATCTTTGTTATACTGTATGTAGTGGTGGAAGAGGCACTTGTTTACTTAAGTAAAAGTAGAAATGTAAAACTGTAAAAATACTCTGTTACAAGTAAACAGTGCTGCATTAAAAATAAAGTAAATGTACTATAACTTTATAAATATTATCATGTATGACAAAGAAAAGCAACGGTTCCTCACATGAAAGAAGGTGTAACCAGAAAATATAGATTTTTTTTCCAAAGTATTTGTCAATTATCTATTTATGAAATGACTAATGGTTGCACCTCAAGGTTACTGAATGGCTTAATGAGTATGAAAAAGTGTGCTCAACACAGTGAGGGAATAGAAGCACTCAAACTGACCTGGAGATACTTGCCTAAAAAGTGTATGTTATTCACTTTGTTTATTTATCACCCTTTGTATCTGTTATACAAGTCCAGGGAGTGTCACCTTCATGGACCTCATCGTCATGGCTTATTGGAGCCTGGTCGTGACCAGCCTGCACAGACTGGGTAGTGGATACAAATGATTCAGGCTGTATCTGCTGATGCATAAATAACGTGAACTCAACAGTGACTGCTCAGAGATATCATGTTCACTTATACAGCTACCTCATACTCAAATATACTGTGTGTAAAATTTGTTATGCGTATCAATCTGTGACCATCTTTGAGCTGTAAAACTGCATCACATTAAACTCAGAATGCCAGAAATATGATCTTCCGTGCATGTCTCGTCATGCTGTATTCATGTTGAGGACGGTTGGTACAATTTATATCTTGCAGTCATAGCTGTCTGTTTCCCAGACAAGTTTAAGGCAAAGAGCTCTGTGGGACCTGAAGAAGCCATCCAGTTTACCCTTATAAAGTTGAGAAAGGTGAAAGTCACTGACATTATTTTATATTTCTTTGTTTGTTTATTTATTTATGTGTCACATTACATGAATTCAAGATGAAGTTCAGCCTTGTAAGAGATGGAGTTGCTTGCATATACTCTTGCCTAAGGCAGTTCTGCTTTGGCAAATGTTTTATTATACCGACTCATTAGATTTCTTTCGCTGGAGCAGAAGTAAATGAGAAAATGCCACAAATCTGAATCTTATTTTCCATCAGTGATCAGTAATGGTTTCAGAACAGGCCTCAATAGTTATTTAACATTTGACCTGTGGAATATTTAAGCTATACATTTCACTGCTTTTATACAGTTTGGCAGTTTTAACCATTTGTCATTACAGTTTCACCAGTGCACATACAACGGAAACAAGCACGTGACTTCTAGGAGCTGCTGTATTTTTTTCTGTGTTTTTGACTTTGATTACATAACAAGTACAGGATGGAGGGGTCTCTGAACCTTACTATTTACATTGGACAGTCGTTATGCATAACCCTTGTCTGTTGCGTTACATTGTACTGGACTGAGAAAGAATGGTTAATCACAGACAGCTAGCAGATTATGTTCGGGTGCATCACCACAGTTAAAGTCTGAGACAGTAACAGAAGTTCAGGATTGTTTGTCCAGATACTGTGAATGTCTATGTGAACAAAAAGATAATTTACACAGACACGTCACTAGTTTGACCTTTTTGGAAATGCACTTATTTGCCTGCTTGCTGACAGTTAGATGAACATGAATGTGCAACTTTTCTTAGCATACAGACTAAAATCTGTGGATGTATGAAGAACTGGATATCCACTTCATTCCTATGAATGTTGCTTGCTGGTGCATATTCCCACAAAGTTCTTCCAGATTCCAACCATTAAAATGATCCTCAGTAGCAGTTTTATATTATTGTATTGTGGTTTATAACTGTACAAAGAATTATAATTTAAAAAAAAAGTTTTTAAGAAAGCATTTGAATTAAAACATGCCTAAAAAAAAGATCATCTATTATGTGTCCTCATCTAATATGTTCCAAGTGCAGTGTGGTGGGAGTGACTGAGGGGAGTGTCCTTAGATTAAAACATCTCCGCTTGAACTCACAGGAAGATGCTTAGGGTCTGTGAAGTGTCATTTTTGTAGAAGACAGCTCACTTGAATAATTCAGCTGTTTAGCCGCTCTTACAACTCAAAGGACCAAAAAAAAAAAAAGAATCAGAAAAAACAAGACAATCCAGAAACAATGGGCTGTGTTCAAAGCTTCAGAAAATGCTGTGACCGTCAAAAAAATACTAATGTTCGTATACGTCTTCCAACAGTTTGCTTTATATGGCAGATAGCCATGATCATCTTGTTTGGGATTTTTATTCGATACGACTTTGAAGCAAGTCCATACTGGTTGAAGTACAAGAAAGATAACAACATAACAAGTGATATTGAGAATGACTACTACTTCAGATATCCAAGTAAGTGACTTTAATGTAATTATTTTGTTATTTTTCTAATATAGGCTGCTCTTTTGCAAATGTTTAAAGTCTCAGTCATCACTTTTATTTCTTAATTTGTTAATCTAGCAACCTTTAAATTTGTACACATCTTCATAACCTACACATTCATATACGTATCTATGCAGCCACATCACTGGACATTTACTTTTTTACTTATATTTACATAACTGCAAATTGTCTATTCATTGTAGTTAACTATATAAACTACATTTGTATTTACTGACTTAGTTCTCATATTGTGTCGACCTATCAAATTATTCCCACATTTTTGACAAGAGTGTGACACACAAATGCACATTCCCCCTCGGGTTGCCCACCCCTCAAGCTTTTTTTCCAGTTTAACTATAGCTGACATGTCAATGCTTGCTTCTTTGTCTAGAAATAAAGGTGTACTTGTACAACAGTCCTGCAGTACATCCTCCTTCATGAATGCGGTAATGTTCAGCTTTTGTTGAAACAGTTTTATTGGTGTCAGGCTCTCATGAAGTCATCTCAGATATGGGGTTAAATGTCAGATAATGAGCTTGTGTTCTGCAATGGAGTTTATTTTTCTGCAGCACGATTCCCTCCGCAGTGTTGGCAGTGCAGTCCGAAACATCTGGAGCATTTGTTGTTGATGGACTGGTGAAAACTACATTCACTCCGATGTGGTATAGCATTTAATACACCGGGTTCTTTGGTGCAAATTACAAAATGCAAAAGGTTCACAGTATGGTATGCACATTTTGTGCCGTGTGTCCTGTGGTTACAGCGTTATGCTTTTGATTAATGATACTGGCTGGTTTATGCTGGTATCCACACTCTGCTGATTATAGCACTGACTGTCTTACAGTTAATGATCAGCCATAGACATTAGTACCCGTATACTGTGTGTACTTGATAAACCTCAGTATCATCATAACATCTAATTTAAACTTACAGTAAATACTGTAATGTCCTTGAACCATCTTCACATGGTTTCACCTTTTTATCTAATATGCCCTCACCTGTCCCTACACAATGGGGATGTACTGTGAAAGCAAACTGTCCAGATGCAGTGTCTCCACTGGTATACCAACTCTCTCATCCATGTATTTTTAATGTATTACTTATTTATGATGCTCATCAGAGTAACAATACAGTAATAATGACATTATTGGATGCAATTATCATTTAAATACATATTTATGTACTGTTCTTGGTTTTTCACAAACATACTCCAAAGAGGTAGAGTATGTCTCTAATACGACAATAGCATTCATTTTATAACATTTTATTTGGGCCCAAGTGTTCACTCTTGTTTAATAAGCCATGGTGATGTGATAAACAGGGAATCTGTTCAGACCATTCTGCCTCATAAATGACCACCAGTTTCAGTCAAAATAATTCTGACTACTACTTCCCTTCCCTCCCCTTTTTAATTTTTGAGCCCAGTTGCTCTTACCTCTCCCTTCTTTTGGTTTCGCCCCAGGTTTCCAGGATGTTCATGTGATGATCTTTGTTGGATTTGGCTTCCTGATGACATTTCTTAAGCGGTACAGCTTCGGTGCAGTGGGTTTCAACTTCCTCATCGCAGCCTTCGGCCTCCAGTGGGCGCTGCTCATGCAGGGCTGGTTCCACTCCCTGGACTATTCTGACGGAACGATCAAAATTGGAATTGAAAAGTAAATGTTTGTGTTATTCTCAACGAGTTAAAAAGAGCCATTCTTTTTATGCTACTTCACTTTGATGAAGGTATACAACCAACAACAGAGGCTTAATGATATTATGTAAAACCCACATCTGTGAGGATCTATAGTGAGAGGCTATTCAGCTGTGTTTTTGTTTAATTAGTGGGAAATACCGTATGTCTGATGGGAAGGCATTTCCACCTACATGGTTTTCAATGAACACAATGCAGATGCACAGCAACCCCATAAAAAAAATAACATTTCAAGGCCCATTAAATTGAGTATTTGTGGGCTTAGTGGTTGGAAGGTAAACAGAAACACTGGCTAGTGAGATATGTTGGCTGAAGAGTAGCCAAGTGTGTCAGCAGATATGGTAGCTTTATGTGTGTACAACAGAAAGAGACAGATCAAGTAAAGATTACAGATTATTTTAACATGTTTGTCCACTACATTTTGGTTGTTTTATTCCTCAGCCTGATCAATGCAGACTTCTGTGTGGCGGGCTGCTTAATTGCCTACGGGGCAGTGTTGGGCAAAGTCAGTCCAGTTCAGCTGATGGTTCTGACTCTGTTTGGGATCACACTGTATGCTGTGGAGGAGTATATTATCCTGGAGCTCATACATGTAAGTCGGAACCATCACTAGACATTATTTTGATCATCATTTTAAAATATACATTCATCTGTATAATCAAAATGTGATAGAACATCTCATATCATTGTTCACAATGTTATTCCAAATCCTGTGACATACTGTATATGGATGTCAGACAGGTAGATTGTTTTGTGATGTATACCACCTTGCACCTGCTACTGTAAGTAACAACTAGTACCTTTGAAACCCTATAGAATGACACTACAGAAGACACGACTCACTGCTGTTGGGATGTAAACAACTCCTGATTGAAAATGTAAACAAAAAGGCTTGAAAACACGTAATAAAACTAGAGACTGTTTTCCACTGCAAACAGGACTTGTTAGTTGGTTATTGGTTTACTTTGATTTTCAATGGATTTTTATTCAAATAAAAAAAATTTAAAAAGATTTTTTTTTTAATGTCAGAAAATGCTGATACTTCTCCAGCATTTAGCCCTGGTGGTCAACCACCTACAAACTTATAACATTCTTGTAGCGGTTTGTAGTTGTAATATTTTCTTTCCTGAAGGCTCGAGATGCTGGAGGCTCCATGGTGATCCACACATTCGGAGCTTATTACGGTCTTGCCATCTCGTGGATGCTTTATCGACCAAACCTGGACCAGAGCAGTCGTCTGCAGGGCTCCGTCTATCACTCAGATGTATTTGCTATGATTGGTGCGTATTATTTGCGATGAAGTCTAACATAGTGAAGCCTGCTTTTGATTGTTTACATTTTTTTTACTCTGACATATTTCTAATATCTGCCATTATTACAAGGCCCTTTGACCTTTACCTCTACTGATCCCTTTCTTTCTGCATAGGAACCCTCTTCCTCTGGATGTTCTGGCCCAGTTTCAACTCAGCCATCTCAAATCACGGGGACGCACAGCACAGAGCAGCCATCAACACCTACCTGTCTTTGGCTTCAACTGTGGTCACGTCCGTGGCCATCTCCAGCCTTTTCCAGAAGCATGGAAAACTAGACATGGTAACAACGACCAGCATCTCATCACTAGTTTGGCTATGTATGAAGGACTTTGTTGTGATAACAGGCGATATGTGTATTTATTAAATCATGTGTACAGGTTGTGCTGCAATAGATTGTTGTACTGTCAAACATAACATGCATGACTTGTGCCCCACCTGAGCACACTTCATTTTTCCTTGAAAATGATAAGGTGCATATTCTGTTTCACCCGGTAGTAAAGTGAGATCGAACTGATACACAATTAATTTTATTACCAACAGGTTCACATCCAGAATTCCACTCTTGCTGGAGGTGTTGCAGTGGGAACGGCAGCAGAGTTCATGCTGATGCCCTACGGCTCTCTGATCGTAGGATTCTGTTGTGGCGTCATCTCCACTCTGGGATATATCTTCCTCTCGGTATGGTACTTCTCTGTTTTATTGTGTTCAGATGTT